CATAAACACTCCCATAAACACTCCCATAAACACTCCCATAAACACTCCCACAGACACTCCCACAAACACTCCCATAAACACTCCCACAAACACTCCCACAAACACTCCCACAAACACTCCCATAAACACTCCCACAGACACTCCCACAGACACTCCCACAAACACTCCCATAAACACTCCCACAGACACTCCCATAAACACTCCCATAAACACTCCCACAAACACTCCCACAAACACTCCCATAAACACTCCCACAGACACTCCCATAAACACTCCCATAAACACTCCCACAGACACTCCCATAAACACTCCCATAAACACTCCCATAAACACTCCCATAAACACTCCCATAAACACTCCCACAAACACCCCCACAAACACTCCCACAGACACTCCATAAACACTCCCACAGACACTCCCACAAACACTCCCACAGACACTCCATAAACACTCCCACAGACACTCCCATAAACACTCCCACAGACACTCCCACAGACACTCCCACAAACACTCCCACAGACACTCCCACAGACACTCCCACAAACACCCCCACAAACACTCCCATAAACACTCCCACAGACACTCCCACAGACACTCCCACAAAACTCCCACAGACACTCCCACAAACACTCCCACAGACACTCCCACAGACACTCCCATAAACACTCCCATAAACACTCCCACAAACACCCCACAAACACTCCCACAGACACTCCCATAAACACTCCCACAGACACTCCCACAAACACTCCCACAGACACTCCCATAAACACTCCCACAGACACTCCCATAAACACTCCCACAGACACTCCCACAGACACTCCCACAAACACTCCCACAGACACTCCCACAGACACTCCCACAAACACCCCACAAACACTCCCATAAACACTCCCACAGACACTCCCACAGACACTCCCACAAACACTCCCACAGACACTCCCACAAATACTCCCACAGACACTCCCATAAACACTCCCACAGACACTCCCATAAACACTCCCACAGACACTCCCACAAACACTCCCACAGACACTCCCACAGACACTCCCACAGACACTCCCACAAACACTCCCACAGACACTCCCACAGACACTCCCACAGACACTCCCATAAACACTCCCACAGACACTCCCATAAACACTCCCACAGACACTCCCATAAACACTCCCACAGACACTCCCACAAACACTCCGACAGACACTCCCACAGACACTCCCACAGACACTCCCATAAACACTCCCACAAACACTCCCATAAACACTCCCACAGACACTCCCACAGACACTCCCACAAACACTCCCACAAACACTCCCATAAACACTCCCACAGACACTCCCACAAACCCCCCACAAACACTCCCACAGACACTCCCACAAACACTCCCACAAACACTCCCATAAACACTCCCACAGACACTCCCACAAACACCCCCACAAACACTCCCACAGACACTCCCACAAACACTCCCATAAACACTCCCACAGACACTCCCACAGACACTCCCACAGAAACTCCCACAGACACTCCCACAAACACTCCCACAGACACTCCCACAAACACTCCCACAGACACTCCCACAGACACTCCCACAGACACTCCCACAAACTCTCCCACAGACACTCCCACAAACACTCCCACAAACACTCCCACAGACACTCCCACAAACACTCCCACAGACACTCCCACAGACACTCCCACAAACACTCCCACAAACACTCCCACAGACACTCCCACAAACACTCCCACAGACACTCCCACAAACACTCCCACAGACACTCCCACAGACACTCCCACAGACACTCCCACAGACACTCCCATAAACACTCCCACAGACACTCCCACAGACACTCCCATAAACACTCCCACAAACACTCCCATAAACACTCCACAGACACTCCCACAAACACCCCCACAAACACTCCCACAGACACTCCACAAACACTCCCATAAACACTCCCACAGACACTCCCACAGACACTCCCACAGAAACTCCCACAGACACTCCCACAGACACTCCCACAAACACTCCCACAGACACTCCCACAAACACTCCCACAGACACTCCCACAGACACTCCCACAGACACTCCCACAGACACTCCCATAAACACTCCCACAGACACTCCCACAGACACTCCCATAAACACTCCCACAAACACTCCCATAAACACTCCCACAGACACTCCCACAAACACCCCACAAACACTCCCATAAACACTCCCACAGACACTCCCACAGACACTCCCACAGACACTCCCATAAACACTCCCACAAACACTCCCATAAACACTCCCACAGACACTCCCACAAACACCCCCACAAACACTCCCATAAACACTCCCACAGACACTCCCACAGACACTCCCACAGACACTCCCATAAACACTCCCACAAACACCCCCACAAACACTCCCACAGACACTCCCACAGACACTCCCACAAACACTCCCATAAACACTCCCACAGACACTCCCACAGACACTCCCACAGACACTCCCATAAACACTCCCACAAACACTCCCACAGACACTCCCACAGACACTCCCATAAACACTCCCACAAACACTCCCACAGACACTCCCATAAACACTCCCATAAACACTCCCACAGACACTCCCACAGACACTCCCACAAACACTCCCATAAACACTCCCACAGACACTCCCACAAACACTCCCACAGACACTCCCATAAACACTCCCATAAACACTCCCACAGACACTCCCACAGACACTCCCACAAACACTCCATAAACACTCCCACAGACACTCCCACAAACACTCCCACAGACACTCCCATAAACACTCCCACAAACACTCCCACAAACACTCCCATAAACACTCCCACAGACACTCCCACAAACACTCCCACAGACACTCCCACAGACACTCCCACAAACACTCCCATAAACACTCCCACAGACACTCCCACAAACACTCCCACAGACACTCCCACAAACACTCCCACAAACACTCCACAGACACTCCCATAAACACTCCCACAAACACTCCCACAGACACTCCCACAGACACTCCCATAAACACTCCCACAGACACTCCCACAGACACTCCCACAGAAACTCCCATAAACACTCCCACAGACACTCCCACAGACACTCCCACAAACACTCCCATAAACACTCCCACAGACACTCCCACAAACACTCCCACAGACACTCCCATAAACACTCCCACAAACACTCCCACAAACACTCCCATAAACACTCCCACAGACACTCCCACAAACACTCCCACAGACACTCCCACAGACACTCCCACAAACACTCCCATAAACACTCCCACAGACACTCCCACAAACACTCCCACAGACACTCCCACAAACACTCCCACAAACACTCCCACAGACACTCCCATAAACACTCCCACAAACACTCCCACAGACACTCCCACAAACACTCCCACAGACACTCCCACAAACACTCCCACAGACACTCCCATAAACACTCCCACAGACACTCCCACAAACACTCCCACAGACACTCTCACAAACACTCCCACAGACACTCCCATAAACACTCCCACAGACACTCCCACAAACACTCCCACAAACACTCCCACAAACACTCCCACAAACACTCCCACAGACACTCCCATAAACACTCCCACAAACACTCCCACAGACACTCCCACAAACACTCCCACAGACACTCCCACAAACACTCCCACAGACACTCCCATAAACACTCCCACAGACACTCCCACAAACACTCCCACAGACACTCCCACAAACACTCCCACAGACACTCCCACAAACACTCCCACAGACACTCCCATAAACACTCCCACAGACACTCCACAAACACTCCCACAGACACTCCCACAAACACTCCCACAAACACTCCCACAGACACTCCCACAGACACTCCCACAAACACTCCCATAAACACTCCCACAGACACTCCCATAAACACTCCCATAAACACTCCCACAAACACTCCCACAGACACTCCCACAGACACTCCCACAAACACTCCCATAAACACTCCTTTCAAAGCAGCTTTACACAGATAATAGGAAAATAATTCAACAGAGTAGATAGATAGATAGATAGATAGATAGATAGATAGATAGATAGATAGATAGATAGATAGATAGATAGATAGATAGATAGATAGATAGATAGATAGATAGATAGATAGATAGATAGATAGATAGATAGATAGATAGATAGATAGATAGATAGATCTGTGTGTGTGTGTGTGTGTGTGTGTAGGAACGCTGTAATTGAAACGCCAGGCGAGTGAAAGGCAGATAACGGCTCTTCCTGTGGTCAATGTAAGCACCTGGTCAGATTCAGCAGACGATTCAAACTCATTCTCAATCTCTCATTCTCTCAATCTCTCCATTCTCTTCATTCTCTCCTTCTCTCTTTCTCTCTTTCTCTCCTTCTCCAGGCGTGTTCTCTCCTTCGCGGCAGCAGAATGAGGTGTAGGGGAAATGAATCACAAAAGCCCAGAAATCAATTGACCCCGAGGAGCCGCGTGATAAAGCCCTCGGCCGCCGCCTGTCCCCGACAGATAGAGCCGCGTAAATGAGTCCGCTCCGATAAATACATTAAAGCCAGCTGTGAATAAAAGCCAGGGACTTCTCATTTGTAAATAGCAGCTCCACTACACGGAATTAGACTGATAAAGGAGCGCTCCGTATAATTAAGTTTGTGTAAGGCCAGAAAATCCGTGCAAATACCTTCCCGGTGTTTTGAAAAGAAGCTGTCAGCTCAATTAATCTGAACATCGGCCGGAGAATGTAGCGAACGAAATTAAGCCAGCGATAAAAAAAGAGCCCGGGCGTGTATTTTGATAAATAATTCCTGTATCATTTCTTTGGCTCTGTGATCATTTTATTTAATCCACCACCTCCAGTTATGAGCTAAGCTCTACAGAGACGCTGCCGGCCGCAGCAACGCATCTGTAATCCGCCAGGGATTGGTTCATGCATCAAAGGCGAGGAACGCGCGCGATAAGGCTAAAGCTTCGCGATGGTCAGAGAGAGGAAAGGGCCTGGACTCACCAGTTGTTTACTTGTAAGATGGTGAGGCCTGTGTCCTGAGCGAGCTGCTTCTTCTGTTCTTCTGAAGGATACGGGTGCTGGAAGAGAACACAAGAGAGACCCGCTCCGGTCAGGATCATGGGGAACATCACACACACACACACACACACAGAGCGAGAGCACTGCCACTCATCGGCACCAACAACACATCAGGGTAACATCTGGGCTTCATGTGGGAACACTACTGCCCGAATCACTGCAAACAGCCATGATGTGCACTTCACCTTCAGTAAGCACCACTGTCACATACAAATAAACTACAAGCAGCAGCACAAATTAATATAATAGAGAAAAGATATTAATAAACATTGCATATTTGACAGTAAAATTAAAGATTAACCTTATTAAAGTCACAAACAATATTCAATCCAGAGCTGTGAGTGATTTCCTTGTTTTTTGTTGTTTGATTAACATTAAAAACAGACGGCAGGAATATTAGGTTACTGTCACTTTAACACACGACTCACGACTACAGTCCACTGATGGTCAAGTCATTCATGTATACAGCGCTTTTTACAGTACTTTCTAGGTAAGTACACTGTAAGTACTGTACTGTAAAAGGAGTTACCAATATTTTATATATAAATGAGAATTTTTTTTCTTAAATATATAGGTACATGCATGTTATATTAAATTGTATTAAATATAATTATACACAGTACACAGACATATATTCTGTAAACACAAACTTTAATTTGGAGGTGATTAATCGTGGCACACGAATATGATTGAGAGTGAATGTGTGCATATGTTAAATTAAAAACATTATTTGCAAACAGCTCAAAATTATTACTTCAATATATAATACTTTCCTGTTTTTCCTTTTCCTACTTTATTCACTCAAAAAGGCCTACATTTAGGATTTATGTATTTTAATATATAAAATTTCTATTCATTTGGATTATATTTTGTAGGCCTACTGTATTATTTACACATATATATATATATATTAATGTTCACCATAAATACCCCCAAGGTCATGCCGATATATCTGCAAATGTTTGGTTTGAACAGTTGAGCGAGTGTGAGCACTGATTGTTGGCCGATATATCACACGAACAGAATCCGCGGCAGCGATTAACGGACGTCAAGCCCCAGAAACACACAGATCCGCACGGCGGGATTAAACGCGGCTCTCCTCGGCGGTTACAGCACTTCTGCTTGAGTTCTCCTGCAAAGGTCTCGAGTCGCCAGGAGTCACGCGGCTAACACAATCCCCGCGCGGGATGCAATGATACAATTTGTGTCACTGTTGATCTGCCAAATGTGACATGATAGAAATGGCAGGATTGAATTTGTGCCGTGTGTGTGTGAAGCATGACGAACAACAGTGATCCGCACTGACAGATGTGTTTAAGAGGCAGATTAACAACCAAACACACCACACACTCCGCTTTATTCAGACAGCGCCACGCGTGCGCCCACTCACATACACACACACACACACTAGAGGTGTAGGTGGCGACTCTCTCTCCCGTCGTCGAATAAGGAATAAGTCTCGACCCCGAGCCTCACATCGAGGAGCCGACGGCCGCTTTAATTAAAGAGCGCGAGGAGGGAACGTTTCAGGAATGTGTCCAATTAATTACAAAACAATTGTAAGATTGAAAAAAAATAATGAAGGAAAAAGAGACGCATGAATCAGATTTCTACTTGTGCACACTGGAGCTTTTAATATGCTAAAATCATTAACAAAGAAATATGATAATGGGCACATAGAAATAAATTTTTTGATTGCTAAGTGCTGACATATGCTTGGCAAGACTGAGAAGCACACATACATACAGTACGCGCATGTGTGTGTGTGTGTGAGAGGGTGTGTGTGCGATTCTCTCACAGACAGCAGAGTATTTTGTGACTGGTTCTCTTTATTTTTTTCAAATTGTGTGTGTGTATATATATATATATATATATATATATATAGTGATAATCCACATCGATTGAACATAAAAATCTAGCTAAAGCCTTTAATCAATGATAAACTATTTGTTTACATTTTTGTTTAACTCGAATGTGCCGTCATTAAAGTGTACTCTGTGTGTCTGTGTTTCCAGGTCATTAAATCAAACTTGTAAATACTGCGGCACTCCATGAGTCTAGCCAACCAGAGACTCGCTTCAGAACGGCAGAAGACTTTATATCTGCTCTTCCCTGACAGAAAACGCTTCAGCGTAAGATATCCTGACCGCAGACACACAATATACAACAGATCCAGTTTCCACAAATCACTGCAAGTACTGCGCCTGATCACACACACACACACACACACACACACGCCATGGAGATGTGTCTGTGATTTATCCACGCATGACGCCATCCACAATCTCTATCCTCATGCTCTGGGGTGTGCACAGAGAAAAATAGACATTTATTTTTTACAAGAACCCAAATTTTGTCATTAGTGCTGGGCATTGATTAATCACGATTAATCGCATCCAATAAGCAATTATAATTACTTTGCATTTATAAATACACAGACATGCATGTATACACACTCTAAAAAATGCTGGGTTGTTTCAGCCCAAATTTAGGTAAAATATGGACAAACTCAAACGCTGACGAAACCCAAAAAATATTTCGGATTTGTCCATATTTGACCCAAAGTTGGGTATTTAAGAAAAACGTGTTATTTATATATACATTTTATACATATATACATACATTATATACATCATTAAAGAAGAAAATTTCAAATGGCATTTAGAGGCGTTTGCATCTGAACTCTTCATATACATGCAAATATTTCGTAAATGCACGTGTGTATTTATATATACAAAATCGTAATATATACAAAAAACGTATATTATGTAAACGCAATTGTTTATGCATTTAATCACGATTAATAGCGCGCATCCGAGTGACATCGCAGGTCGAGTCCAGCACTGCAAAATAAAGCATCAAATTAGAAAACAAGTGAAACCCGACCAGAGCACCTCCTTTATATGAATTATTAATTCCGTCCAGCGGTGTGCATGACACGCTAACAGCATGATGAAGAGTAAACTTAGCATGAGAGATCAGAGAAAGATTGAAAGTGTTCCTGTCACTTTAAACTCAATCAATAGAGTGAATTACTAAGAGCCGGAGCAATATCCCGAGGAACGGACTGACCACAGAATGAGGAGAGGTGCAGTCTATAAATTATTAGACAGAAAAATGAGCAGCTTATTTTATTGCAGATGCCAGCGCTAGCCGGCGATCGAATCAACTGTTAATTACGCTGCAGCCTGTTAATGGCACCGGCTTTTTGCTGCTTGCGCCGTTCTCAACACACACACGCACACACACGCGGCTCGGGAAGGAGTCCTCGGGGATGTGTCGGTGCATCACACAGTCCGCGGCAAGTGCATGTGGGCCGATTTTATTTCCCAGAGTGCATGTGTGTGCATGTGTGTTTGCACTCTATTGGCTAAATTACAGGGTGTGATGTGCTCTTCACCGCAACTCCATGTAACGTCGAGCCTGAACCCCCAGTGCCCCCAAACACACATCAACCCCCCTTCACACACACACTCCCCAGCGGAGCGGCTGACCGTGAGCTTGATGAATGACTTCATCAGTACGAGGCCAGACTGCAATGAATTAAAGCGTCCTGCAGCCTAATGAAAACCAGCACATCCCCCGAACCAGCTACTGAATCACTGCAGCACCATGCAAATCCTATACGTTCTAGATATAGCGAGATAAGAATTAGACAAACAATCAGTGTGTTTTTGATTGCATGCTTTTTAGGCTATTTAACCCACAATCCATCGTGACTTTGAGTTTGCATGCAGTTTTTAATTGCACAAACTAAAATGTTAAGCTTTAGGTAATGCATTTAGCTAGATGCTAACATGCTAACACAAACAATATGATCCCAACAAGCAATTTTGCTTTTAAAAGATGTCCAATAGCGTGCAAACACAGCCCTGATATGACCTCTATCTAACCCATCGCCCCAAGAATAGATGCATCATGCACACATAGAATATGTCAATGAAATGAAACCAAACCCCTTGTAATCACTGTTGACTTTGCTTACATGATGGAATATCATACATCTCGCAAGTTATTTTGGCAAAAAATGGGATGCAACCAAATCCAAGGTTATTTTGTCTAGAAGTGTGTTTCAGCATCGGGTCTACAGTTAACCGAGACGGGGAAATGACGGCTATTGCTTGCAGGAACACTATCATCCCACACGCTCAACACTGCGTGCTTTATTTGTCTGTTTTGGAGGTTTGTGGAACGGAAATGAAGGGCACGTTCTCAAAACTCTGCTACCAACAGTTTCAATTATTCTCAAACTACTCCATCATCGCTGAAGGATTTGAGTTTCCCCGTGACGCACAGTGATCGTTTCTGTGTGTTTAATCAAACTGAGCTCAAGATAACACAGACTCCCAATAAAATCAATCAAAGCCCAGAATGACATTTTAATATCTGCTACACAGAAATCTGCAGAGAGATTGGCACATTTTAAATTTAGAGAGGCTGTTAATAATCCATTTACATATGTGTGTTTCTGCAAGCACGATATTCCAGCCAAATGAAGGCTGCAGGTTTATTTTGATAAGACTGATTTAAATATAATATATATATCCCATTTTACAACGCAAATTCATGAATAATTGCAATGTGGTGTGTTTGTTGTAAGTATTTGTCATACGAATGAACCCTGAGAAAGGCAGATTTGTTTAGAAAGTTAACTTTGATTATAACATGACTCATGGTGTGTGATTGATGTCTGCTCAACACAACAGAAGCCAAAAGAGTGTTTTGTTTAAAAGATGGACAAAAGGAGTTGCTTCTGTGTATTCTAGTAGTGTGTCTAAGGTTAAATGTGTGTGCTTAGGTAGCGTTTTGTGTGCGTTTGATTTTCTTCAGCGCTACGCTGCATCCAGACAACAAGGAGGAAGCCGGCAAGAATGCAACTTGACTCGCATGCACACACAAAAGGGAACACGTCCTCGGTTTATGAAATGCACCATCTCAAATGCATCCCCCCCGATGCTCGAGCCATGTGTGCATACCGGCAGTCATTGTGTTCGTCGGC